CATCATCATCAAATTCATCAGCAGCAGTTGCTTCGTCAGCAACAACAACAGCAAACAATGAAAATGAGCCTGGAGGTAAATGGTCAATTTCATTAGGAATTCACTGATTGATGTTTTGCTTTTATAGATTTTCTAATTGGTTATGGTGCATTTGGAGTTATATGGGCAGTTACTGATCCACGAACAAGCCGACGTGTTGCATTAAAAAAAATGCCTCATGTTTTTCAATCAGTTGTAGCTGCTAGACGAGCATTTAGAGAAATTAAAATGCTTTGTACATTTCGACATGATAATGTAACTATAATTTTTTTGAAAGTCAAATTAGGAATTCATTGATTTTTTCTTAAGATTCTTCAAGCTGTTGATATTCTTCAACCACCTAGTCAAGTAGAATTATTTAATGAAGTGTAAGTAGTACAAAAAGAAGACAATTGAATAAAAAAAAAAGAGAGAGAATGATTTTGTTTTAGATATATTTTAACGGAATTAATGCAGATTGATTTACATAAAATAATTGTTTCACAACAATCGCTATCAATAGATCATTGTAAAGTTTTTCTTTATCAAATACTTCGAGGTAAAAAAAAATTCAATTCAGTATTATTATCTTTGAATTTTTGTTTTTTTTTAGGGCTCAAATTTCTTCATTCAGCTGGTGTTATTCATCGAGATCTAAAGGTTATTCATCTTTGTTAATTAAATAAAAATTTTTTTTTCTAATTTTAATTTATTCTATTTAGCCTGGAAATCTTTTAGTCAATAGCGATTGTTTATTAAAAGTACATTATAGTGTTGATTTTATTTCTTAAAATAAATTATTTGTTTTCTTTTTAGATTTGTGATTTTGGTCTCGCTCGAACGGAAGAATTAGATAAAACAAAACGTATGACACAAGAAGTAGTAACACAATATTATCGTGCACCAGAATTATTACTTGGTGCTCAGCATTATTCATATGCAATTGATGTTTGGAGTGTTGGTTGTATTTTTGCAGAATTACTTGGCAGAAAGATTTTATTTCAAGCATCATCACCTCTTAAACAGGTACATTCAATAGTCGAGAGATTCATATACAAAATGACGATAAGTAAACTGATAGAGAGCTGCGAAATTATGTTTTTAGTTACCAGTATGTGACATTGTCAGTGTAAAGAGTTAACGAAAGAATTGACTCAATTGTAACCCGCCATTTGAACAAAGTGATAGTTGTTTTATTGAATTTTTGATCCATTTTTAGGTATTCACGGAATAATCAAACAAAAGCACTATAACAATAAACGTTTGATCTTCTTCAATATTTTAACTATATTCTTGTTTCATCTTTGTTTTTGTAGTCGACATTGATACATTCTTGACAAAGTCTATGATCAATATATATATCGAATTTGACTTTAAAATCTAGAAACGTAAAATTATTATGCACTAATCGAATATAAATAACTTTCAACTGGTTCACAGTTTTCTATCTGGATTTATCTAGGGTGGATGTATGTGAACATGCACCAAGACTGAGTTGTTGCTGACAAAGATGAAGTTTCTTGTCTTACATTTTACGTTTCTATGTTTTCTACGAGAGAATCGTAGAACATTGAGCTTCTTCGATGGGTACTGATGTCTAGGGAGCATTCCTGAAACAATTTTCAATACTTTGATATTATGGTTTGAGTGAGCGAGACTTGGCATAGAAACTTTATTGTAGCAATAGGCATAGTTCTTTTTTATGATGTATAATGACGGACATTTTCAAAAGAATATTATGACACACTTGTGTCATGAGTATTTCATCTTCTTTTCCATCGACTTCCCTATAAACTGATAATGACTTGACGTTGGAATATTCCACTATGACCATCTTTCATCAAATTTCTTCAATCCTTAAGAGCATTGATTCTACTTAAAAACTTAAGCTGTAGCGACCACAAACTCGAATATATGGTGTTGAATACTAGAAATAAGTACATATTAGAGGAACTGAGTACTGTTCTATTCTTGCGCCCACTTTTAAAGTTAGATATAATATTCCCACATGATTTTATAAAAAGCTGAACAGCAAATCTTTTAAAGTTAATCGAACTTTTCTACCTACGAATGTCACCAACATAAATAGAAAATATGAATGACTAAGACATTGTCTACAGTTTTTTTTATCAAATTTATTTTTAAAAAAATGTGATTTTTTCACAGCAAATACTTGAAAAGTCAGTTGAAAATCTAGACTAGAATACCTATGACTCCTGAATAACGAAATCTAGAAATCTGAAACTTGCGTAGTTTCGTAGATCTACTGGTTTTTCCAAATTTCTATTTTTTCTATTGAATAATTCATTAGTTAAAATCCGTTTTTCTTTTAGCTTGATTTAATACTTAATCTACTTGGTAGTCCACCATTAGATGAAATAGTGTCGGCATGTGATGGTGCTAAATCTTATATATTATCGAAAACTTGGCGTGCACCAAAAGTAAATACACTTTATGCTCTATCAAAAAATGTTACTCATGAAGCTGTACAACTTGTATTACGAATGTTAACATGGGATCCAAGAAAACGAATTACTATAAATCAAGCACTTGGTAAAATTTGAACAAGAAAAGAAGAAATTTTTTTAATAAAATAGATGATTTTTCTTTTAGAAAATAATTATATTCATGAAGGACGTATTCGTTATCATTCATGTATGTGCCGTTGTTGTTTTTCAACACCTAATGGACGACAATATACAGTTAATCTTGAGCCTATACGAGGATTCCGATACGATGATTCGGATGAAAATTTTTCTGGTTTACGTCAAGCAAAAGGTATTTATTGGCTATTCTATTTCGTAATAAAAACTATTTTATATTTTTAGAATATATGCATAAATTATTGACTGAATTCAGTCAAGCAAATACTGTACCACTTAGACTTAATCATGATTCGCCATTATATAAAACATTTGCCACGTAAATATTTATTTTCATTATTTCTGTTTGACAATGTCATAATTGTTATTTGAGAAAAAAAATCTATATAAACAAAAGAGATTAGAAGTGGAAAAATTTCAATTTGAAAAATTCGTTTGAGAGAGTACTGGTCGTTTGAATTAATGATGTGGGTGTGAATGATTAGCGTTAATGTCTGTCAGGTGGACTATATTTGTTTTGAGACAAAATGTTCGTTCATTTTTCAACTGAATCAAAATGCCAGCGATGTATTTTGAAAGCTTTGGTTAAAATTAGAGTTTTATGCTTTTTCTGGATGTAAGTTCGACATTTTTGTGAGATTCATGGAAGTACATAGAAAATTTATTTCAAATACATCACAAAAAAGATCAGGCATTTCCTTACAAAACCATAATTGTAGCGAGACCTTCGGTTTATAGCGCATTTTGTGAAGAATATTCTCGTCTTTGTATGCTGTACACAAAATTGCTAATAAAATGTATGTAATAAACGATATTCTTGCTGAGAAGGGCATATATTGTTTAATGGCTGATCCACAAATATTTCCAAATACGTGATGCAGTCAAACAAAAAGAAAACAGAAGTTGACAACTAATTCTATCCGAACTTCATTTTGAAACTATTCAAACTTTCGTACATAACTCCTAACTTATGAATCCCTCAAAATTTCCGAACTAAGATTTGGAAAGAGCACAAATTCGGATTCCTTAAGATATACGTCATCATTTTATTTTTTAATGAGGTTACCATGATTGAATGACTACGTTCTGACATACATTTGCTGCTTTAATTAGTTAGTGTATATAGAGAGCTGCAGGCCCATGCTTTTATAGATTCGGACTTGCAGCCTCCTAATTCTTTTTTCTGTTTCATTTAAATGAAAATAGCAATCAGAATTTCACTGTAAATCTAGTCTTAAAGATTTTCATTTCAAGAAAATCTCCATTGTTTTGCCGAGGTAGTTTTAAGACTCAAGATCATGACAGGTAATTTTCGGTAAATAATAAAATTCGAATGAAAACAGTAGCTTTCTGATCATAGTAATATTAAGACTGAACATAAAGTGAAGCAAAAAAAAATCTTCTTGTTTTTTATACAAGAAAAGTCTTTTAATCATATTTTTTATGTTTTAGATCACAAGTTGCTCAAGCACATGAGTTGCCGCCATCACCTGTCGCTTGGGATAAATTTTGATAATATTTACATTTTTTTTTCTTTTTTCTTCTCTTTAATAATCTCAGTTTTCTTTTTGTCTATCTCATATACAATGAGATATGTTTCTTTTTTTTCTTCTCTCTCTCTTGCAAGTATATCTTTCTTACTTCTATTTGTTTTGTGTATAACTATAGAATTATTCGTATATTGTTTATCTCAGGGGAGATTGATTCCTCTTCCGTTTTTGTTTATCACCCATTGTTTTTTGTTCTATCTTAACTCAGGTGCTGAAAGCAAAATAGCAACCGGTTTTGTATGTTCATTGCTCAAAAAACTCATCTGCATTTCTTTTTTTCCTTAATATATAATATACACATCGTTTTTTTTGACATATTGTGAAATTTTATTTGTATGTCAGATGGGCATGGTAATATCAAATATTAGATTAGCATCACTATTTCTTATTGTTTTTGTTCAAATCTTGTGTCTATCATTATTTATTCATTTTCTTTTTCTTTGCTTTGTACTTCGTGTACATATATAAAAGAAAAAAAAAGGAAACAGAGACTTTTGTTATTTGTTATTAGATCATCTTTTTTTTTTCTTTTTCCTGTCTTTGAACAAAACATATTTGTATGGAAAAGATGAAAGAAAATATAAATGAAAATAAAAAATAAATATGTTTATTCTTGTTCATTCGACAATATAATTGATTCATCAAGTGGACGTAAAGATTTTCTAAGAGTGGATTGTTGTTGATGGTGTCGTGATTGAATAAAATGTGTATAGAAATTTTTAAATGTTGGTCCTGTCTGAATAGATAAAATAAAAGTATTATTGACGACGAGAAATTGAATTAGTAAGAGATTGATTATACTGGAACAAATAATTTAAATAAAAGTTAATTATGTTAGTTTATTACATACTAGAAGAGCTTGAACATCTGTTGTAAGACGTTTATTTTCGCTATTTTTTGAAAGTTTCATTAAACTTTGTCGATTATAGGTAGCAGAACTATGAAAAAAGATTGGTAATGATTTGAAATTGTATTTGTTCAATTTACGTGACAACTGTAGTACTATCGTTCGTTCGATGAGAACCGACCACTGATGTTGATCGTTTAGAGATGAGTGAAGGATTAATTTGAAAACGTTGTTTACCACAGGGATCAAAACGACTTTCACGTAAACATTGATTTAAATGAATTTGTCTAAGAAAAAAAAAATATATATTATAATGATAAAACAATAGATTATGAATATTTACATATCTCTTTTGAGATCGCGAACAAAACGTTGATATTTTATTTCTTCTTTAGTTAATTTTGAAGAACTAGTTCGTTTTATAGTTGATGATCGATGTCTTTTTGGTGATCTTTTAGACCTGTTTGATGATCGACTGCTGCTTAGTTTATGTTGTTGTGACATTGATCGATGCTGTCGAGTCTTCCTAACTTTTTTCTTTTGTTCTTCTGTATCTGTCAACATTTTGAGCTCAATTGTGTTTACAACTGTATGTTATATTTCTTAAACAAAAAAAAAAGAAGAAATACGGTTTAAAATTAAAAGAAAAGCGAAATACCTTTATAAATTTGTTAATATGTTTACATACTTAAACACATGGTTACTCTATGCAGCTCCTTTTCGACGAAAAAAAAAATGAAAACGAACAGAAAAAAATGTTAATTTCGTTCGATTCTTCTTCAAGAGATGTATTATTTCATTAAGTGGAAAAAAAAGGAATTAAAAATTTCTAATTAATTAATGTTAATTTATCGTCTGACAATGACACCAAACTATATGAAAGTTTAATCTTTGTATTTAAAAAAAAGTCAGACATTTCATATAACTGCAAATCACTTTTAATGTTCTATCAAATCAAATGTAATCGAATTCAAAAGGAATTTCATGCTAAAAGTGGAACGAAATGTTTTATATAAGGTTTTTTTTATTAGATGAAATCCTATCCATAGGAATTTATAATAAGTTTAAATGAAAGAAATTTTCATATAAGAATTGGTCAGATCGAACAAACACTCACGTAAACGATCGTATTCAGTATTACGATCGTATTTCTCCGTATTATATACGAAGAAAGATGATCGTATATGGTCGCTTCCGAATGTATAAGGATTTCATATTCTTCGTCCTAAGTGATTCGATAAATATTCATATATCATTGACAATGATATTTAATCAAGGAAAATTAATATTTTATTAAGTTCACAGATGTTTCGAGCTCGCCAGGATTATGACAGAGTCAATGATACAGACAGCCGATTGAAAGATATTTGATAAAGTTGACTGAGTTTTGGGAAGGACAGGGAGCGGATCACCCCCATCCACAACATCTCTGACTAAGTGCTGTGTTTCTTTAATATAAAAATTGATCGATGAAAAGAGTTGAGCATCAGAGAACTATATTATATTATATCAATAAATATGAATTGTGAAAATTGATCCTCTGATGATGAAGCCTGTAAATTTATGTTTTCAAAACTTGAAAAGAAGGCAAAGCCGAAACATAGTAAATAGGTCTTTTCAATATTTGTTCTATTCTGTCATGGATGCCACTAGTATCAGCATTATATCTTTATATTAAATCTAAATGCAAGAATTATGGTCGCCAATTTTTTTTCAAAGTATGTCATGTTAACAATAGAATTTTACTTTTTACACACTCATTTTAAACAGATTCACTAGAAAAATAAACTATAAATTGTGTTCTGTTGGCTACTTTAGTGAAAATTCAAGTTGCTATTTTTAGAATCTTTCTCTCCTTTTTTATTGTACGTGTATTGACTAAAACCATTTCTCAGTGAAGTCATTATCTACAAACACTATTGTATTTAATAGTGTAAGCCATAAATGTCACGAACGATAAGCATAAATGTAGAGAAACCAGCCAACAAAAAAAACATTTCAGCGCGACCTTATGAGTGGTCAAAGTATGGAAGTTAGAAACTCTGGCTGTTATAAATTCTTGAATTTTTCTTCTAACAATTTATTAGATTCCTTTAATATTGCTGTACCAGAAAAACTTATTTGTATTATCCGATACATGTCATAGAGAGTGGGCAAATATTATTTTATTCTTCGTTTTATCGATTCAACCACAATATAAGCCTGCTATGCACATCGATGTAATCGTTCAGTAAGTTTCTGAACGCACTATCCTTTCTCTGGATGAAATTTGACATACACTATCAAATTTTGTCTAACCTTACAATTCAATTAGTTTATAGTTTTCTAATGTCCGCCTTATTTTGACTCTGCAAGATCAATAATGCTACCACCCTACTGATTAACGTTCACAATAGGATAGACTAGTTAGAATCTACAATAGAAATATTGTATTCATAGAATGCTTTAGAAGACTCTGGAAAGTTCTAGAATGATCTAGGCACTGTGATTACTGAAATGCTTTTTCTCGTTACTAGAAAAACGTACCCAATGCTCATTGCTCCTTCTCCTCCGGTTACTAAACCAAAAGATCACGTAGAATCGAAACCGTTAAATCATCAGATAGATACGAAAATTTTAAATCTATTTTGAGAAATTCTCAGTATTGAATGTATGAGATTAAAGACGCCACATATTTCAGTATTACACATATATATAATGAAATCTTTAATCTCAAGAATGAAAAAATGAAGACTTTTTGACATAGGTTTAATATTTTTTTGTATCTATCCGAGGCGAGAAGCTGGAAAACCCTCAGTTTACATTTGTACTCATTGTTTTCTTTAAAATTAGATATGAGTTCTACGAAAAATATTGGTAAGCTAAACTATTCTGTCCTTGTATAATGACAAACCATGTTCCTAATTTAATGTGTAAATGACTTTCTCTGTGTATGCCATTTTTTGTTTTCGTCTTTATTTACATAAAATAGAAAAACTTAACAACAGAGTCGTTTTATATTTTATGATTTCGATTTTTTCTTTTTTTCTTGTTTTTCACTTGATTTATTTTGTTTATCATTTGATTTCTCTTCTTCTTTTTTATTGTCATCTATTTGAACATGTTCCGTTGATGGTTCAGCGTCTGTTTTAGCTGGTACAAATTTTGCTTTTGTTGATTGATGATGCCAATCTGCCGAACTTGCTGCACTACCACTATCATCACCATGAAAGCCAAGACCTATATGATGTGTATGTGTAATTTTCGATTGTAAACCTTCATTAAACTGTTTCTCTAATTCACGTTCAATTGTTTCATTTTCGACTTCTAAAATAGAAAATGAATTTTTTTTGTAATGATGTGAATGAAATTCAATTATTAAATCAATTAACTTGAACGAGAATGTTTTTTTTCAGATGAAGCATCATCATCGTGATTGCTACCGTGTGAATCTTGTCTATCGACTTGAGTTTCATCTTTATGTTTCTAGATAAATAAATAACTTCTTGTTTTTTTTTATAAAGAAATATATTTTATTTAATACCTTTGCACCCATTAAACGAAGAAATTTTTGTTTTCGTTGATCGTCGCCAAGATCAGCATTTTCCCAATCATTCGCCGTATGAACCTGAACGAGCAATAAGTTTCAATTCGGAAACTATGTTTTGCTGAAAGATCGATATAAAGTGGAATATTCTCAAGCAGAGAAATTTTTTTTAAGACTATCTCTTAAATACCTCTTCAATTGGAACATCATCAGCATCCTTTTCATTTTGACGTTCTTTTTTGGAACGTTTTGGAGACGGCGATGATGATGATGATGATGATGATGATGATTTTGATGACTTTTTCTTGCTTTCTTGTGTCGACATAGTGGTTGAAATGACCATTTAAAAAAAACTTCATTTTGATTCTCGGATGGTTGATGGATTAAGACCAACGAGAAATTATTCTATAAAGATGTCGCTTGTAAACGAAATCATATCACAAATACTTGAACATTTCTATTTTAAATTGTCAGTCAAATTCTAAAATTTAGGTATAGACTCAATCATTGTGACAAAACCAAAACATTAGTGACGAAAGTTCTCAATAGATAATCGATATAGAAAAATATGCTTACAAACTGGTGACTTACGATAGTTTTTTGTGCTGTATCTATTAAATTCATTTGGGTTAGAATCGACGAGCTTAGGGTATCCATGACAGGTAACATGAATGATGCACCAGTACTTCACGGCATAGTAATCACTTTCCCGAAGTGTCGAATTCAGAGTACTCTGATACCAATATGTCACAAGAATCTTTGAGTAATTAATCGGTTTTTGACACTTGGTTACAAAATGTTTTTTGAACTTAGTACATTCACTGGGAATGCTTATTGTTGATACTAAAGTAAGTCTACTTAATTGAACATATAGATATTTAACACAACTCTATATTCATATCGAGAGAGGTTAAAAATCGACTTTTTTTTGCGCCAGACAGATCGAGCTGAAATTTTAGGATATGATTTATGACTAATACTTACACATCTTGTGAAAGTTTCATCCTCATACATATTATGGTTGCAGAGATATTTGTTTTTATAATTGGGCTCCCTAACAATAAAAATAAATATCTGTGCAACCATTATATGTATGAAGATGAAACTTTCACAAGATGTGTAAGTATTAGTCATAATTCATATCCTAAAATTTCAGCTCGATCCGTCTGGCACAAAAAGAGTCGATTTTTAACCTCTCTCAATATGTATTGTAGGAGGATTGATTAGACATTGGCGTGACCACCGTGACTGCCGTGAGTCACGATCGTGACCATTTTTCGAAAAAAAGTCGTGACCGTGACCAAAACCTGGTCACGACCAGTCACGATAAATTTTCAATGCAGCTATAAAGCAGTTATTTACAAACTTTATTAGAAAATTAAATATTATATTTAATATTCTTTCAATACGTATTAATATCGTTTTCTAATTATGCTAACTCAAAACGAAGGACTAGAATCAATACAATCGCTATACCAGAAAACAAATGCTCAGTATTGATATATTTTAAATAGCTCGCACAAAAAATATTTTAGAAAAAAATGTACCATTAAAAAATATTATAACCTACTTGAACAAGAATTGTCATTTTCATATATTTCCGACTTTTTTGACTTTTATCAGATGACTAATTCGATGATTGATCATTTCTCCACTTGTTCTGATTTCGCTCATCTCTCTTCAGGCTGTGGTCAGATAAACTATCAAGAACTTTAAGAAATTTTCTCAAAAACAAATTCATCAATTTTTTTATACCTAATCTTTTTCCTTTATCGGTTATATTACCTTTCCCCTCTCCGCACGAGAAGATCCGAGGTTTTCTATTGTGTCTAATCTCAAAACTTTTCCAGAGATCTTGTGTTATGTCTCTTTTGTTTTTACAGATTTCATCTAAAAAGATTGTTCAGAAAGCCAAAGCGATTTCGATGTTTTGAGAAGGAATTTTTCGGATTTTAAAAGCCTAGATAAAATGTTGAAAACACTTAGTTAAGGTTTTCAGCTCAAAACTCTGAAAACTAAGCATATTATGTTATAAATCTAGTGGTTGAAGCTGTCATTTTTCGAAAAATTCGATAATTGAATAAGATCTCATACTAAGTCTCGCACGTATTTCTCCAAGGGGGTCTTCTATTATGGAAAGCCTTCTAATATAAGGACCTCCTATCGGAAGAGAAGGGTATGATATTTTGAGAAAAAAGAAAATAGTCGTTCGTATAGAGACTGGCGTGGCTACCGTGACTCACGGTAACGGTCGCGATGGCAACGGTCGTGACCGTGACCGTAATCGTGACCAAACCGATCGTGACCGTGACCAAAAATGTTGGTCACGCCGATATCTAGGATTGATTGATAGTCGTATTATCCAACATATGATTATTTAAGTAATACATAATCCATAGTGTGATTACTTGCATCTATCTAAGGCGGATTATATGATATTTGACGACTTTGACCAAAAGAATTGAAGTTCGATATTCATCATTCGCTGTTTAGTTTTGTTTCTCATTAAACCTATGTGTAAGCAAAAGTTCGGATCGAAAATTCTATCAAACAGCCATAACTTGCCTTGAAAGGCTTTTTCTAGTCTTACCGATACCTCATTGTACGCTCAACGTCAGCTCAAACGGCGTATTACAGTTGGGTTAGTTTCTTCATAAGAATACTTTAGTGCTTATAGAACGATTGTTGTACTCATTTCACTTTTCGATGTAGTCTATTTTGGAACGATACGTTACTTATCCGCCTACGTTCTATTATCTATTTTTGAGTAAACGCCGGAGGATCTGATCGTAATCGAAAAGATCGATGAAAAAATTATTTATGTCGTCAACAATAATCATATCAAATTTTACTTTCGTTATTGAAACAGCTTAAAATTTTTTTTCAACACTAATAGGCTTCTAAACGATCAATGTACCAATAAAAGCTGATTGAAACTACTTCAAAGTTTCAAAATATAAACACGATAACATATTCTAGATATTGTGATTATAGGTCATTTTATTTGTGTTCATCAATAATATGACATAAGAAGCTAAGTATACACTAGATCCGTTTAACCGAATTCTCAGTCTCCTTTCCGTGTAGGTTCAGGTGAATCAACTCTTGATGAATATTACTCATGCTTGTAATGAAATAACATACGGAATATATATGTTGTGGTCAAAATAAAAATTTGTTTTGATGAAGAGAAAAAGGTAAGATAAAAAATAAAAAATTATAGCACAAGCAACTTTTTTTATTTTACATAGTTTTAAACATATATTCTTTGAGTTCTAAATAAATTTAGTTCATATTTGAGCATCCACTCCTCTCTGAATGACATTTGATAGAGTAGAAAATGTATTTTTTTTTGCATAGGTATGTCTTTCTCGCACATTTTCTTGACAATTACAAGTATATCCGGCTGTGGAACGACGAGAATCAAGTGTTCACGCCTCAGTAATGGTAGCTGAGTTTAGATTGTTAACGTCTATATACAGTGGGTAACAAAACTATCCAACAAGTAAGCTGAGATTTTTTGTTTTCTCAATACTTCAATAACTAAGCGACATAAAGTGGTTCTAGTTTTACTATCTTATTGCCCATAGCCTCTAGTATATATGTGGAGAATTTCAAAAAAAAATTTCAATGTGTTCGATTTTTATTAAAAAAAAATAAACATATATGATTTTTCGCTGTACCAAAATTATCCAACAAGACAGAAAAAGAACGAAATAGTCAGTCAGTACTGACTATTATTTTTCTTTCTTCATTTCTACTGGTATATTTATCGTAGAAAAAAATCTTTTTCAAAATTTTCTATCGAGATAATATCTATGGCTCCTAAATCAAAGGAGCGTTCTTTTGAATTTCGAGAACTCGTTATAAAACATTTCCGAAATGGTGATTCGGAACATGACATAGCTATAAAACTCCTTTGTTCACGAAATACAATTCATTATATAATTGCCAAATACAAAAAAACAAAATGTATTGGTAATATATTTGGTCGTGGTCGAAAACGAAAGACAACAGCACGTATTGATAAGACTATCCAACGAAAAGTAAAAGTGGATCGACGAAAATTTGCATCATCTGTACGTCAAGAAATTGAACAAGAACTTGGTTTAGTCATATCCAGTCAAACGGTTCGTCGTCGTCTTCATGAAGCTGGTTTATACGGTCGTACTGCTCGAAAAAAACCGTACGTAAACAAGGTAAACAGAGCTAAACGTTTGGCATACGTGAAAATGTACCGAGACAAGGACATGGACTTCTGGAAACATGTTTTATGGTCTGATGAATCAAAATTTAATCTCTTTGGATCGGATGGAAAGGTTATGGTATGGCGGTCACCCAAAGAAGAATATGATCCACGATGCACAGTGTCAAAAGTGAAACATGGAGGAGGATCTGTGACAGTTTGGGGTGCTTTTGCTAGGAATGGAGTTGGAAATTTGTTTTTTATTAACGGTAATATGGCTGGAGAGGTGTACAAAAATATTCTGGAACAAAATTGAACTTAGGAAGAGAAATGGTGTTTCAACATGATAATGACCCCAAACATACGTCTCGTATTGTGAAAAATTGGCTCGACAAAAATGGTATTAAACGTCTGGTTTGGCCGCCTTTCTCACCAGACCTGAATCCAATTGAACACCTTTGGGATGAACTCGAACGTCGTATGAAGAAACATCAACCAAAAAATGAAAACCAGCTTCGAGATATATTACAAGTTGAATGGCTTGAAATTGGTCAAGATGTAACAAATAAATTGGTTGAATCAGTTCCAAGTCGTCTACACGAGTGTTTACGTATGAAAGGATATCCAACTTGATATTAAATTTGTAAATTGTAGTACTTCTTATCCGAAAATACACGTTGTCGTTTACTTGTTGGATAATTTTGGTAGAGCGAAAAATCATATATGTTTATTTTTTTTTTAATAAAAATCGAACACATTGAAATTTTTTTTTGAAATTCTCCACATATATACTAGAGACTATGGACAATAAGATAGTAAAACTAGAACCACTTTATGTCGCTTAGTTATTGAAATATTGAGAAAACAAAAAATCTTAGCTTACTTGTTGGATAATTTTGTTACCCACTGTATGTCTTCTGCTTCTAATTTCTTTTCCTACATGTTTACACTTAACCTTAAGAAGTATGATGCTGTTTATACAATATCTTCATTTATTTATATCAATCATGATACATACTATTTCATCGTTGTTTAATAATGACAAACCAAGTAACCCTAATTTTTCGCATCCTTCTTGAACAAACCCTTGTCCTTGTATTCAATTTTGCACATTTCAATTAACTCTGTCTTGTCTTGTTCATTTGGCTTCATTCTGATAAGAACATCGATCAGCAATTGTGAATGCAGGAATTCCCCATTCAAAGCCGTTGATGATCGATCCAATACGTTAATGCCCAAGGGTTCTTCAAGTCGAACCCGACACTTATGATCCATTCGTATTATATTGATGAGTTCCTTTAAATCATTGCACACAGCTTTAACCTAAAATAAACTAACAATGCATGAAATAGTTTTCAATAATGACATGTACATACCTTGCTGTATGATCGGCTCCATTCTAGATTTGCCTCTTTATTGAAGCAGTAAACATATATTGACGATACCTGTTGCAGTTTCTGCATTTCAGGTACCACAATACGGCCCAATTGACCACTTACAATTAAAATTGTAAGATCACCTTGATGAATATACCGAACACAATCAATAAATTCATTTGGATCGACGAAAGTCCGCAGTTGATTGATGATTGATCGTAACTGCTTTTGAGCCGCCTTGTTTTCTTCGTTATCCACTGAAGCATCTAACCAAAAGATGCTGTATGTTTCCAAATTGTCATTACTATTACTGGATTGAACTTTTGAGCGTGCCATTTTTTATTTGATTTGTGTATGTATGTAAGTACGTGAGTGTGTGTGTGCTTGAATAGTTTTCTCTTGCGTTAGCAATTCGAATGATCGTGCTTTGCTATTAGACGCGTATTTATTCACAACAATCACGTGCAAAAAAATTCTCACCCTTATCTTTGCTGAGTAGTGGCCAATCAAAAGTTGTTGTATTTTTTGTTTCACTTATTGTCAAAGACAAACAGAAAAAAAAACATATTCCCTCCTATTATCTCTTTCTCGTTATTCCTTCAACAATTCGTATTTATCTCTCTTATCTGCCAGCCACGTGAGCACTATTTCGCCGAAATAAAATTCCTTTTATCGTGTTTCGTTACATATATCATACAGGCTTCGTTTGCAGACTTCAGTCAACAAACAGCACACACTTCGCCTGCTTGGTTTTTTCCAACTGCTACAAAACATTCAGTTATTGTGTGTATCAGATGCGTTTATTTGCTCAATGATCCGTCCATTTCAAACTACACTGATAACTAACAAACAACGCTATCATACAATCTTTATCATTTTACAAGTGACGTAAAAAGGACAGCCAAAGCCCGTCTTCTAAGTCGTGCACTTTTCTTAGCTCCGACATAAGCACAAGAAAAGCTCCTATTTTTCCTTTCTCGTATACCCAAAACCATAAAAATTTATTGGCTCTTGCTTCACTCGCGACGCATAGCGTCCGACCAACAATGTTACTGACCACAATTTTCTCCAATGCATTGAAGTTCACAAGACCAGTAAAAACATTGCACCTGCCTATCTGAAACAGAAGAATACATCCGTAGCCAACTGCATATTTTTAAATACGTTTACCAACAGCCATCAACGGCCTTTCGCCCACACCGATACATAGAGCCACATATGGTTGTATGCACTACAGCCATGCATAATGTGCCAACACCCCCTCCTTCAAAGTTTCATCCTGGTGGTCAGCTAGATATCAGACAATCCTCATCATACAACAATACCGCGAAACACACAGCCACATTCAACGTCCTATTCAACATCCCTGGGAACGCCTGCCTTACCAGACACATACGTACTGTGGGGCTCAATGACAAGTCATCACTCATGTGCTCCTCTACATACAAACCCTAAGCCAAAACCCAAGCAATCTTCACACTGACCCCAATAGGGACTTCTGGAAACACTGCAATCCACAATAAAAAACACATCACGACTGCGCCAACCACAAATTCTCCGCATACTAACGCACTCAAACAAGTCATACCTGCTTGCCTCATAATGGAGACATGCTCAGCCAGGTAAAACAGCAACCTCAAAGATGCACACACACCTACAGCTACAATAACCTACACAGCCACACCGAGACTACAACCACACCCACACCCGCACCCACATCCGCACCCACACCCATACCCGCACCCACACCCACACCAACACCCACACCCGCACCCACACCCATACCCGCACCCACACCTGTCCTGACCATACGCGTATCCACACTCAGGCTGGGACCAATATGGAAAGTCATACGTACATCCACACCGAGTCCGAAACCCGATCGACATCCACACCAAAATCGCAGCCAGAGACACCCCCTTAGCCGCACCCAACGCTCCCGCATCCACACCGACACTCACCCATGGTGCCACATCCAGGCCCAATCCACAGCTAAACTACTCCCGGCCCCATACTGAAAGCGGTCCCTAACGGGAACTCCTCACACACCGATATTCCTCACCCACGCCGAAACCACACCCACATTCACTCAAACTATACGCGCATCCGCACACAGGGTCATATCAATATGTCGAGTGAAACCCGCATCCACGTCCAAACCAGATCCGCATGCGATCCACAGCCATATCCAAAACACACTTACACGCACTCAGGCATCTGGTGCCAAATGCAGACCCAAAGCACACCCATACCCACACCCAGGCCGACAGCAACATCCGAAGCCAAACCCACTCACACATGTACTCGCTGGGCACACCAGCATCGAGAGCCAACATTTTGTCCACGAGCAGAGCAGCACCACGCCCACGCCCAAGCAACCACTGAGAGAAGAAGCTGCATTTGCTCGACACTGGATGTCGAAGTAGCTTTGTAGATATCGGTATGAGTGTTCGCGTCGGCGTCAGTTGCGAGTAAGTGTACAGCTACAACTATAATAATACGGCAATATGCGCATTCTTACAACAGCTACAGCCGACAC